CGCATCCTGCCCGTGCCGCTTCCCGCGTATATGAGTAGATGCACCAGGGAAAGTGAAAGTTCGGTTCTGGCGAGGCACCGCGTAAATGAGAAACCGCGTAAAGCGGGGTAATACTGTATATCTTAATCCTAAATTACATATTAAAGTAAGGCTCTGGTTTGACAGTTCCTGGGGAAAATAATTGGGCTATATCATTAACTCTAAACTGTAGCCAGGCGGAATGGGCGCCAGCCTCGAACAAGGCTTAGCATCGTATTTTCATGGCGTGGGTATATCCACTTCACTTCAATCTGTATTTAGGGATCCTCCCCTCACACGTTGCAGTCGCTGAACACAGTCATAAGATTCTCTGATCATTGCATTGTTCGTGGTTATTCGTCACACGAGATAGAGTGTACTAAGTTCACACCAAGGCATACAAGATAATTTCTTTGAAGAATAGTTTCTGGATCACTCCCAATACTTCACATAGGTCTGATACATTTATCCTTTTTCCAGATCATTTTTCTCTTATATTTTCATCTGATACCTGCAGTAGCTATGTTCACTAATCGTTCACAGACGTAAATAGTATGACCTTCAAACACGATCTACACTTATCCTTTATAGTACACTAGTCCATATCAATTGGACCTTCCCAATCATCCTAGATACCTTGAGTTCTCCTTAATGCTACGAGTACATACACTTAATAATACATGACCGTACCTTGGTACAATTAGGTATAAAACAACATACAGTAGGTGGGTTATCCTTTACCAAAGTTTCCCGATTTCTACGTTTCTGTGACTACAAGCGCGGTGGATTTGAATGTTATGTGGCGTAATATGAATAAGAGAGATATTAAGGTTGACAATGATGTGCGCAGAACAATGCGTTCCAACTTACGGACAAATTCAGCTCGAGGACATCCTCAGGAACGGAACTCGTTCACAACCCGAGGAAACCCTGTAAGTAACTTAGTATCATAAAATTGAAAATGATAAATACCAGTAGTTACCTAAAGTCAAGGTTTACCTGTGCAGTAAAGGTCTTACCTCCATCAGAAGGATGTCTGGCCCAGTAACACTTGTGGTTTATTTTACTGTTCTCTAGGAACACTGATACGGTATAGCCCAGACTACCCCACATATATAAAAAGGCAAGTGTTTTTTAATGGCTGTGTGGTCAGCAGACTAACATATTTTTTTAACCCTCCAAAAATGTTTGAAGGAACAGATTAAGAAAGTGATAAGACATTGACCCATTCTACCAACAGTTCCCTAAAACTTTCAGCCACTTCTCTCACAACCATTACCATTCATGTCACCCACGTTGCCAATCTCATCAACACAGTCTTGTGACATTATTCTCAATATCACTTTAACTCATTAGTCTTCTTAAAGCTCTGGAATGTCACCTACAGTACTTAACCTCACCTACCTAAAGTTGATCTGGTCAGTTTTAATCTAATTAACTACAGTGGTCCCTCGGTTAACGAGTCACCTTCCATAAGATTCTTTAATTTCGGTTAACGAGCAATCCCTCGATTAACGAGTTTCTTACGAGCCGACCTCCACATGTTTTAGCTTGCATTTGGCGGTCCACCAGCTGTAGTATTAGTCCGCCAATACAGTAATCGGTTCTAAGGCTTAAATTCCTTACCCGTTTACTAAATATCAAGAAGTTTATACTATTCAATAATTTTAAAGTTTAATATTAAATTTTTTAGTCATTTTAACAATTATTGAACATAATTGAAGGTTAGGGTCACTAGTTTGTACATGTCCAGCCTCTCAACACACCATACAGGCGTCAGTCTTTGTGTCTTTCAGTGGAGGTAACATCTTGCTTGAGACTCTCTTCAACTAAATGCTTTTTTTCTGTGTTTGCAAGCAAATTATTGGTAATTTTGAAATTTATATTACATATTGACAATATATAATGCAGTGCAGTGTTGATTTAAAGAAAATAACCTTGAATTACACCAAGAGAACGAAAATTTTATGGGTGAAATGGCGCCATGGGGTGACTTCTCTTCCACCCCAATGCCTTCTCTTCTCCCTTCACCTCCACCCCCATTCTAATTCCCATCATCATCATCATCCAGGAGCCTTCTACATACACACCTCAAAATAAGTGTACTTTTCTATCTTTATTGTTGAATTTAGGCAATTTTCGGTGAGCTGGAACCAATTACCCAAAAACCCATTGAAACAATGGTTTCGGTTAACGAGCAACCTTCTAGAACGGATTGTGCTCGTTAACCGAGGGACCACTGTATACCTTAACAATAATAATATTTACCAACTTAATGCACTCTTAACAGTACAGGTACAAGATTTTCACAGAATTTTATTATAAAAGCAGATCAAGGATCTGTGGCTTAAGTGCAGTAAAATATTGAATAAAGAGCAAGTTCTGCTGTAGGGAAAGGACTATGGTATACATTCAGTATGTGTATAGTTTTTATTTAAAAGTATATGAAAATTTTGTTTCAAACAATATGATCTGCTGATATGGTCAGTTTGGCCAGTGGTTAGACCAACTCAACATACAATATAACACACTTCTCTTTCCAAATAGTCCATTAAAAGGAGGTTTCTCATCTAACAGACCCTCAATATAATGGACTTTCCTTTCTGTATATAGTTCATTAAATAAAGGTTTCACCGAGTTATAATTTGTGTCATGTTGGGATAAAGAAACAAACAGTAAAGAATACCCATTATTACATCCTGAAATACCTTTTAAATACATCAATTTCATGAATCACAGATATCAAAAATCTTAACAAATTGGGCATATATCTCAATACGGTACTTGTAAAATTGTCATTGCTGAGGCATACAAGGGCAGAGCCTTGGACTGTGCCAAGCAAACAAGTGTATCGCCTCCCGGGAATCATCAACAACCGCTTTAGGAAACCGACCGAGGAGAGTTGGTAGAAAATTATTTAAAATAATAAAAATAAATAAAATTCTCAGAGCTATGTGCACCCCTCCAGTAGTCACTCAGAGCTATGTGCACCCCTCCAGTAGTCACTCAGAGCTATGTGCACCCCTTCAGTAGTCACTCAGAGCTATGTGCACCCTTCCAGTAGTCACTCAGAGCTATGTGCACCCTCAGTAGTCACTCAGAGCTATGTGCACCCCTCCAGTAGTCACTCAGAGCTATGTGCACCCCTCCAGTAGTCACTCCCACAATATAAAGGTTATTTATGGAGATTTGGCAATTAAATGGACAGTTAAATGCCATGCCCCCGTGCAGTAGCAAGGTCACTCTGACATGTATCAACAACCTCTTGTAAAATAAACTAGAAAATATAACATTTCTGTTTTCTCTGGTATGCTACTCAGTGTAGAGAGAGGAAGGAGGTGCTAGACTAAGAAAGTCAATGCAGCTTTCAACTGTTGAAGCGGTCAGGCGTCTGATTAATTGCTCTTCTCACTCTAGAGCGTTTACCAATAATAGGTTTCTTATAGCTTTTTCAGAAATTTATCCACTATTTATGGGCCAATTTTCAAAAATAAGGTCTCATTAGAAAGGGCAAAGAAATATAAAGAATTTGTTGATCATATTTTCTAATAATTAAGAAAAAAAAAAGATTAGGAGAGGTTGAATATTGTATTAAAAAAATAAATATTTTGCTAAATAAAAAAAATCAGCAAGTAACTCTAACAATTTGTTAATTATGTTGATAACTATCACATAAATAATTTGCAAGAAAATAGGCACAGAAATAAATTTCTAAAAATTTCGATTTTAGGAAAAAAAAATTGTTTTACCAAAATGTCTGATACAGTACTTGGATATACTGTATAACATACTGTATAGATATACAGTACATAACATACTGTATAGATATATGGTACATAACACACTGTATATAAAAATCATGAAAATTGGATGATAAATAAAACTGTCCAAGTCGGTATCCTTAAGAGATGTCAGTACCGACCTACCTCGACGACGACAAGCACGGACTTGGTCGAGGGTCATTCACGAGAGGCGATAAAGCTCTCAATAATCAGTGAAATATCCTATGTGCACAAACAAATGATAATAACAACCAATGGAAAAATGCTACAATTATTGGCTACTCATTAAACAGAGTGGAATTATTAAAGAAGCCATCAATTAAAAAAAATAATTGATCAAAGAATCTGTATGAGTAGATAATATTTATAAATGTAATTATATAACTGAAAAAGAAGTTTGGCTGCAAATGTCTTTTGGGACTTAACAACAAGTCATTAATTAATAATAATTTCTTCCTAAGAGAAAATGTTGACACATGAGGAATAATGTACAGTATAATAATAATAATACAGTACAGTGCAAACAACCCTGTCTGAAAATTATACATCATTGTATTCTGGAGTGAATATCAAATTAGTAATATACAGTATTATATACAATAACTCTGAGGAACACCGTAGGAAAATAACTGATGCTTTACAAGAATGTTATTTAACATAGTTTGATCCTGATATTCATGCCTCAGTAAACGAAACTCTGACAGCATCGCAGGATATAAAGTCGCGTGTCAAGTGGTATAAATAAGCTGGAACTAACTGGACTTGACCTGACCTGTTACAGCTGTCAGGACCTTCTTTAAGGTCATCCCCATACTGTACAGTACTGTACTGTACTGTACTATACTGTGCTGTACTGTACTGTACTGCTGTACTGTACTGTATTGTACTACTGTACTACAGTACTGCTGTGTATTGTACTGTACTGCACTGTACTACTGTATTGTACTGTACTACTGTACTGTATTGTACTACTATACTGCTATATTGTACTGTACTGTACTACTGTACTGTACTGTACTACTGTACTACAGTACTGCTGTATTGTACTGTACTGTACTACTGTACTGTAATGTACTACTGTACTGCTGTACTGTACTGCATTGTACTACTGTACTGTACTAATGTACTACTGTACTGTACTACTGTACTGTATTGTACTACTGTACTGCTGTACTGTACTGTATTGTACTACAGTACTGCTGTATTATACTGTACTGTACTGTACTGTACTGTACAGGGAAAACACTTCAGTTCTTATATTTCCCACTCTCTCACACACTATACATTAGATATATCAACAGACCATTACTCTTTGGCAATGTTTTATTTATCCCAGACTATGTAATATATTGATTTATTTAAAGAATTTCTTTCACACCTGTAAAGCTCCACCTTCTAGAACCATTCATTAAGGCAACACAGCCCCTCCAAAACAACATAATGCAGCTCAGTCTTCTGGTTGATAGTTTACCTTTAACACTTGACATCATTAGTCACAATAATTATAATCACAGTTTTCAGTGTAGCATGATGCATCCCTAAACAGTAATGAGAAATCACAGCTGTCTTGTCTTCCCCAACACAAACAAACCATCTTCTTCAGTGTGAGTCATCACTATCACCTTACACCAACAACCTCCCAATATCTGTAGTGTCAACTTGTAATACTCTGTGACTTCATCTTAGCGCCATATAGCAGTCCGCGTGGAGCACGAAAACCTCCGTCTGCAAGGGTGTCTCTCCCTGTTGCAAAGCTTTCACTTTTTCAGAGAAATGTCACTCTTCTTTCAGGGATTGTAAGCAGTTCTTGAGAAGCTGAGCTTGTGCCTGTACATTTAGAATTGATGTAATAATAACAACATCAAGACAACATATACATACAGAATATTGTACTTGTACACCTATTAATGTATTTACCAATTTACAGTCTTATGGATTGTTTGTTGCCAAAATGTATTCAATAATTTGCAGAAGCATGATAGGCTTCACATATGGTTCAGTAACTTTATTCAAGTACAGTCAGTGCACATTAATTATATAAACCAGCAGTGGATCTCAACTAAGGAGAGGAAAAACAAAATGATACTTGCCATTATGAAGCACAGTTACTATTATGCTGACTATAATGCTATCATAACAAGTCTCTCTCTCTCTCTCCTTAATGTAGTGCTTCACCCTCACTCACAACCCTCTCTCTCTCTCTCCTTAATGTAGTGCTTCACCCTCCCTCACAACTCTCTCTCTCTCTCCTTAATGTAGTGCTTCACCCTCCCTCACAACCTCTCTCTCTCTCTCTATCCTTAATGTAGTGCTTCACCCTCCCTCACAACCCTCTCTCCCTTAATGTAGTGCTTCACCCTCCTCACAACCCTCTCTCTCTCTCTCTTAATGTAGTGCTTCACCCTCCTACAACCCTCTCTCTCTCTCTCTCTCTCTCCTTAATGTGGTCTTCACCTCCTCACAACCCTCTACCTCTCCTTAATGTAGTGCTTCACCCTCCCCTCAACCCTCTCTCTCTCTATCTCTCCTTAATGTAGTGCCACCCTCCCTCACAACCCTCTCTCCTTAATGTAGTGCTTCACCCTCTCTCCTATGTAGGCTTCCTCTCCTTATTGTAGTGCTCACCCCTCTCTCTAAAGTGCTTCACCCTCTCTCCCTTAATGTACTTCACCCTCTCTCCTTAATGTAGTGCTTCACCCTCTCTCCCTTAATGTAGTGCTTCACCCTCTCTCCTTGTGTGGTATCCCTCTCTCCTTAATGTAGTGCTTCACCCTCTCTCCTTAATGTAGTGCTTCACCCTCTCTCCCCAATAGTGCTTCACCCTCTCTCTCCTTAATGTAGTGCTTCACCCTCTCTCTCCTTAGTAGTGCTTCACCCTCTCTCCTTAATGTAGTGCTTCACCCTCTCTCCCCTTGTGGTGCTTACCCTCTCTCCTTAATGTAGTGCTTCACCCTCCCTCACAACCCTCTCTTTCTCTCTCCTTAATGTAGTGCTTCACCCTCCCTCACAACCCTCTCTCTCTCTCCTTAATGTAGTGTTTCACCCCCCCTCACAACCCTCTCTCTCTCTCTCCCTAATGTAGTGCTTCACCCTCCCTCACAACCCTCTCTCTCTATCTCTCTCCTTAATGTAGTGCTTCACCCTCCCTCACAACCTCTCTCTCTCTCTCTCCAATGTTAGTCTTCACCCTCCCTCACAACCTCTCTCTCTCTCTCCTTAATGTAGTGCTTCACCCTCCCTTACCCCCCTCTCTCTCTCTCCTTAATGTAGTGCTACCCTCCTCACAACCCTCTCTCTCCCTCTCCTTAATGTAGTGCTTCACCCTCCATCACAACCCTCTCTCTCTCTCTCCTTAATGTAGTGCTTCACCCTCCTCACAACCCTCTCTCTCTCTCCTTAATGTAGTGCTTCACCCTCCCTCACAACCCTCTCTCTCTCTCTCTAATGTAGTGCTTCACCCTCCCTCACAACCCTCTCTCTCTCTCTCTCTCCCTTAATGTAGTGCTTCACCCTCCCTCACAACCCTCTCTCTCTCTCTCTCTCTCTCTCTCTCCTTAATGTAGTGCTTCACCCTCCTCACAACCCTCTCTCTCTCTCTCCTTCATGTAGTGCTTCACCTCCCTCACCCCCCTCTCTCTCGCTCTCTCTCTCTCCTTAATGTGGTGCTTCACCCTCCCTCACAACCTCTCTCTCTCTCCTTAATGTGGTGCTTCCTCCTCACAACCTCTCCCCTTATGTAGTGCTTCACCCTCCCTCACAACCCTCTCTCTCTCTCTCTCCCTTAATGTAGTGCTTACCCTCCTCACCCTCTCTCTCTCTCTCTCTCCTTAATGTAGTGCTTCACCCTCCCTCACAACCCTCTCTCTCTCCTTAATGTAGTGCTTCACCCTCCCTCACAACCCTCTTTCCTCTCCTTAATGTTAGTGCTTCACCCCTCCTCACAACCCTCTCCCCCCTTAATGGTGCTTCACCCTCCTCTAACCCTCTCTCTCTCTCCTTAGTAGTGCTTCACCCTCCCTCAAAACCTCTCTCTCTCTCCCTTATTAAAGGTGCTTCACCCTCCCCTCTCACAACCTCACAACTCTCTCTCTCTCTCTCTCTCTCTCTCTCTCTCTCTCTCTCTCTCTCCTTAATGTAGTGCTTCACCCTCCCTCCACAACCTCTCTCTCTCTCTCTCTCTCTCCTTAATGTGGTGCTTCACCCTCCCTCACAACCCTCTCTCTCTCTCCTTAATGTAGTGCTTCACCCTCCCTCACAACCCTCTCTCTTTCCTTAATGTAGTGCTTCACCCTCCCTCCCCAACCTCTCTCCCCTTAATGTAGTGCTTCACCCTCCCCTCACAACCCTCTCTCTCTCTCTCCCTTAATGTAGTTGTACCCTCCTCACAACCCTCTCTCTCTCTCTCTCCTTAATGTAGTGCTTCACCCTCCCTCACAACCCTCTCTCTCCCCTTAATGTAGTGCTTCACCCTCCTCACAACCCTCTCTCTCTCTCTCTCTCTCTCTCTCTCTCTCTCCTTAATGTAGTCTTCACCTCCCTCACAATCCTCTCTCTCTCTCTCCTTAATGTAGTGCTTCACCCTCCTCACAACCCCTCTCTCTCTCTCTCTCTCTCCTTAATGTAGTGCTTCACCCCTCCCTCACAACCCTCTCTCTCTCTCTCTCCTTAATGTAGTGCTTCACCCTCCTCACAACCCTCTCTCTCTCTCTCCTTAATGTAGTGCTTCACCCTCCTCACAACCCTCTCTCTCTCTCTCCCCTTAATGTAGTGCTTCACCCTCCTCACAACCCTCTCTCTCTCTCCTTAATTTAGTGCTTCACCCTCCCTCACAACTCTCTCTCTCTCTCTCTCTCTCTCTCTCTCTCCGTAATGTAGTGCTTCACCCTCCTCACAACCCTCTCTCTCTCTCTCCTTAATGTAGTGCTTCACCTCTCTCTCTCTCCTTAATGTAGTGCTTCACCCTCTCTCTCTCTCCTTAATGTAGAGCTTCACCCTCCTCACAACCCTCTCTCTCTCCCCTTAATGTAGTGCTTCACCTCCTCACAACCCTCTCTCCTTAATGTAGTGTCACCCTCACAACCCTCTCTCTCTCTCTCCTAATGTAGTGCTTCACCTCCTCACAACCCTCTCTCCTCTTCTCCTAATGTAGTGCTTCACCCTCCTCACAACCCTCTCTCTCTCTCTCTCTCTCTCCTTAATGGTGCCACCCCTCCTCACAACCCTCTCTCTCTCTCTCTCAATGTAGTGCTTCACCCTCTCCCTCACAACCCTCTCTCTCTCTCTCTCTCTCCTTAATGTAGTGCTTCACCCTCTCTCCTTAATGTAGTGCTTCACCCTCTCCCCTTAATGTAGTGCTTCACCCTCCCTCACGTGATGTACACACCTCCTACACTGCCTCTGTACATACTCTACCATCTATCCTCTAGTATCCTTCCCTCCGTGCTGCTACTCACACCTTCCGTCCTTCACTGTTTCTAGCCCCTGCCATTATTAACCCTTCAGGTAACTCTACACCAAACTTACTGCCGCCACACGTCAAGGTAACTGTTCCTTAGGTTCCTTGGCCCCAAACTTTACAATACTACTGTCAAACTTCCCTCTGTGCTCTGTCCTTTCTTCACTGTATATTGCCGTATGGCGTCATTCCCAAATGCAAAAAACTATTCCTTTATGTCCTCCGGCATTTCATTATTTGTCATAGTTCATTTTGGTGCGTTCGTTTTTTCTATTCCGTGTTATTCGCTACAATCCACTTCATCGACTCCAATAGCCTTTACCTGTGGTCTTCCTAATGTTTAATGTTCTATCTTTCACACACACCTTGTTAAGATCCCTTACCACACCCTGTACACCCTATCCCCTCTCTCCTACTACTGGTACAGTAGAGTAGAGACATGTTACTACAGACTACCATACACCTATTCCCCCATTAACATCCTTGTTTGGTTCCTGAAAACTATGACTTTTAATGAAAACAGTTTTACAGTAGACACAATAATGTAGATTGATATAACCTTTTCCTTTTTCTATTTTTAATTTCTTTCTATTCATATTTTTTTGACCCCCCAGGCCCCGATGTGGGTCGTTCACCTGTGCCCGGGTGGGCTAATCCCACTCTACAACTCATAACCCCCCCCCCCCTCCAGTACTGCACTTGTCACTCTCACCTGTTAATTTCATAAATACAATACAATAATACAATACTGTATTTCTAATTTTCAAGTTCTGTCACACTATAAATTCTCAACATCAAGTTATAAAATAATGTGTTGGGTGTCCAAGAATCACTGACATGATCTATATTGTAATTGTAAGACAATTAAACTTCATGAGAAGATGTACCATCCAAGACATGACTGCCCACAAGGAAGGCTGTGGATACAACACACTATACAGCATAGGCAACCCGAGGCCCAAACCACGTCTTTGTGCGGCCCGCGGAGTGAATGAGAAAATCTGTTTAATGTGGCCCGCAGTTCAGGTAGATGCAGCCAGTTTGTGGTGAGTAAAAGTAATAATTATTAAAAGAATAATCTTCACAGACAATTCGTTATTGTTTCATCACCTAAGAGTAAGTAACTACAAAAAGTAACAGAGAAATAAGTATATATAGTCAACAATATAAACATTTAACTTGTGCGAGTTTATGGGCCAAGATCAGTGGGGTCCATTTGATGGATTAGCTGCTATGTGGCAGTGGGTCACTTGGGAATTAACAAAGGTTGGGTGGGGTGATGGCCTATAGGTTGTTTCAGTGTAGTTCCTCATATATTAACATTTACATTATTCTGGTGGGTGTATCTCATAAGTAAGACAAATGTTGTAACTGTAGGAAAAATCTAAGTATTCTCAGACTGCTTCACTCATCTTCTGCTAAATGCCAAGAAACATTAAAATTTTACTTAAAAAATTATGATGGATTTGTTTTATAAATGAAAAAGACTGTGATTGTAAACTGAAAACATCATAAGGTGGACGCTATGATTCACTGTCCGTGCTAACACAATATTAACATTACTTTTGCAGGGGCAGTTCCAGGGGGGGTTCTGGGGGTTCCCGAACCCCCTTTTCATCAGAAAATTCCAATATTTTTTCTTTAATTCAGTATTGTATTCAGGTAGTTTTATATAGTAAAAAGTAATTACTATTGGCCTCAAAATATTTCTTAATATCAAGTGCACATTGCTTCAAAAGCCCGAGATATTGGTCAGATTTAAAAAAAAATTGAGGGGCTACAATGCTGCCCCCCTCCAGCTAAGGGGGCTCGCTGTCCTCACCATGTTCCCCCACCCACAACTCTTTGGACCTCTCCCCCCCCCCCTTGAGATTCCTGGATCCGCCCATCTTGGGTTAGATAGGATATAAATTTCGGTGGGTTGGCCTCATAATGCGGCCCATGACTGAGGAAAGGTTGCCCATGCCTGGAACATAGTATGAAGACTTCACTATGTGGAGACAATGAACTCACCTGCTCTCACTTCTTCACCAGTCAGGTTAGGAGATGTACAGTACCGTACACCCAATACACAACAAACAAACATACAGTAAAACCTCGATTAACCGACCACATATGGGGGGAAGGGGCCGACGGATAATCCAAAAGGCCGGTTAATAGTACATAAAGTCTACGGAAATAAAACCTACATTTTCAAAGTACCTTTCCCTAACCTACCTCATTTAAGTCCCTCTATTTATTTTTGTTCATTTGCCATTCATATTTCAATAGAATTTGCTTTAAAACAATAACCACTTTAGTAAATAAATATGAACCAGCACAGAAACCGTGAATTAAAAATGGTTAAGTCAAAGAACATACAGTATGTCATCACGAAAATTGTGACCAAGTCCCAGGTTGATGATCTAACTTTCTTCCACATTTACACACAATTGCAGGGTCTCAATTGTTTCTCTTACTATTGACAACACAACCTACACACAGGTACATTGTTTCTCACTCTTGATTTTTTTTTCATTTTTGCATTTCTTTATGGTTCTTTATTACTAATATTATTATTATTACAAGTATTATCATTATCATTATTAATATTATTACATTATCGCCCCCCAGGCCCCGACGTGGGTCAGTGACCTGTGCCCGGGTGGGCTAATCCCTGAATAAAAAAATAAATAAAAATAAAAAATAAAAAAAATACAGTAGTGTATTTTTTTTAGGGGTCAGGGATTGACGGTTAATCCGATAGTTGGTTAATCGAGGGTCGGTTAATCGAGGTTTTACTGTACATACATACATATATACATACCTTGGAGTGTTTTAGTTCTAGTTCAGCAAGTTCAATCAAGTTCTTCCTGAAAGCCGCTACACGCCGTGACTTGAAGTCGTTCAGTTCTACAGGTAAATCATAAGTGATATAAATCAAATACATAAATGTGTCCATTGCATCGTTTATCATTGTGACGACATAAAATATGACAAATTAAGCACTCATTGTAAGTGTTAAGATTAGACTAATTACATAGTTATGACTGTTATGTAAATATATATTGGATTAAACATTTATATAAGAGTGCCTATGTATGATTTATTTGAAATACTAAAATGAAATGTATTCAACAGGTTTGACCGAATTATAATGTTCGAGTTTGAAGTGACGAGTCTGAATAATCCTTTAACCGCCCTGATTGGCGGTTACACATACATTAGTTGTATACAGTACAGGTAACTCCTCAAGTGATACTGTCGCAGATCTACCTATGGAAGTGACCAACACAAGACTGTTTAGGTCTAGGATGGTGCTAACATTTGTGCTATGTCTGGCTGTACACACACACACACAGGAGCCTCACAACCATTAATATATTCTTCATCACCACTACTCTACTTTCCTCTTCTTTGGGGAACCATAAAAAAAAACCATAGTTCAATCTCCGTACACTGCACAACTTCTCCCACCATATAATGCATTATATGGGGTTGTCTCACATGACCCTCGATACAACAGAAGTTCCTCTGTGTTGTCGGTCAAATAAGAGGTTTAACAATAGTAGTAGTAATTCCTTCAAGGTTTGGTCCACTTTCGGCCCAATGCTCTTGAGACAATCTGTGGTGCAGCTTTAGGGAGCCATTGTACAGTACTGTATATGTATTCTCACATCTTCAGAAAATTGAAGAAATATATGTATATGAACCTCCATGAGTCTAGACCCTGACCAACAACATATATCAACAACAAATGTATATAAGCAAAGAAAAACAGTACATATATACTGTACTGTATATATATATATATATGAGGAGTTGGAGAAGGACTAGTACAGTGTGCCTAAAAATAATACAGTATATGCATGATGGCTGCCACTAACTGTAACAATCTGTAATTTTAATCAGTTCAATTTCTTCACTGGTTCCAAAGTTATGTTAATCACAAACTTTTAACTGTATTTTTCTGCTTTTCATTTACGGCGGCGCTTGTCCTAGCGTACTACGGCTCCTCATATAAACACAACCTAAGGAAAAATTGAACCTAACACAGAATTATTTTAAAGTACTAAAGTCAAGTCACCAGTACAGCAGAGAGTTTAACAGCAGTCAAGTGCAACAAACAATATCACCACCAATAAAACACAGGTTAATGGTCTCAACCACTAATAACCCCCATTAAGGTTAGGTTAGGTTTAAGTTAGGTTTAAGTTAGGTTAGGTTTAAGTTAGGTTAGGTTTAAGTTAGGTTAGGTTTGGTTAGGTGAGAAGTATTAAAGTTGAAGTCCATTAATACTTACCATCCTTGGCCCTTGATGACATATGTTCAAACCTCTCGCAGGCATTCTGTTGAGCTAGTTCAGCCTGTAGTAAGAGAGATGTCATCAGTAGAGTACAATGCAGTAGAGTAGAGTACAGTAGAGTCCAATACAGTAGAGTACAATAGAGCACAGTAGAGTAGAGTATAGTACAGTAGAGTAGAGTACAGTAGGGTAGAGTACAGTAGATTAGAGTACAGGAGAGTACAGTACAGGAGAGTACAGTACAGGAGAGTACAGTAGAGGAGAGTACAGTACAGGAGAGTAGAGTAGAGTAGAGTACAGTAGAGTAGAGTACAGCAGAGTACAGTAGAGTAGAGTAGAGTACAGTAGAGTACAGTAGAGTAGCATACAGTAGAATAGAGTACAGTAGAGTACAGGACAGTAGAGTACAGTAGAGTACAGTACAGTAGAGTACAGTACAGTAGAGTACAGTACAGTAGAGTACAGTACAATACAGTACAGTAGAGTACAATACAGTAGAGTACAGTACAGTAAGTACAGTACAGTGTAGTACAGTACAATCTAGTAGAGTACAGTACAGTAGACTACAGTACAATAGACTACAGTACAATAGAGTACAGTACAGTACAGTACAGTACAGTACAGTACAGTACAATACAGTAGTGTACAGTACAATAGAGTACAATAGAGTACAGTAGAGTATAGTACAGTAGAGTACAGTTGAGTAGAGTAGAGTACAGTACTATACAATAGAGTAGAGTACAGTACAGTACAATACAGTACAGTACAGTAGAGTTCAGTACAATACAGTAGAGTACAGTACATTAGAGTAGAGTTGAGTAGAGTACAGTACAATACATCACAATATGGTACAGTACAATACAGTACAGAAAAGTACAGTACAGTACAATACAGTACAGAAAAGTACAGTACAGTATAGTACAGAACAGTACAGTACAGAAAAGTTCAGTACAGTACAGTGCAGTACAGTACAAAACAGTACAGTAAAATACAGTACAGTAAAATACAGTACAGTACAGTAAAATACAGTACAGTACAGTACAATACAGTACAGTACAGTAAAATACAGTACAGTACAGTAAAATACAGAGCAGTGCAGTACAATACAGTACAGTAAAATACAGTACAGTACAGTACAGTAAAATACAGTACAGTACAGTAAAATACAGTACAGTACAGTAAAATACAGTACAGTACAGTAAAATACAGTGCAGTGCAGTACAATACAGTTCAGTAAAATACAGTACAGTACAGTACAGTACAGTACAGTACAGTACAATACAGTACAGTAAAATACAGTGCAGTGCAGTACAATACAGTACAGTACAGTAAAATACAGTACAGTACAGTAAAATACAGTGCAGTGCAGTACAATACAGTACAGTAAAATACAGTACAGTACAGTACAGTACAGTACAGTACAGTACAGTACAATACAGTACAGTAAAATACAGTGCAGTGCAGTACAATACAGTATAGTAAACTACAGTGCGGTACGGTACAGTGCAGTACAGTACAGTACAGTGCAGTACAGTACAGTAAAATACAGTGCAGTACAGTACAATACAGTACAATACAGTACAGTAAAATACAGTGCAGTGCAGTACAATACAGTACAGTACAGTAAAATACAATACAGTACAGTACCATACAGTACCATACAGTACAGTACAGTACAGTAAAATACAATACAGTACAGTAAAATACAATACAGTACAGTACAGTAAAATACAATACAGTACAGCACAGTACAGTAAAATACAATACAGTACAGTACAGTACAGTAAAATACAGTGCAGTGCAGTGCAGTACAGTACAGTACAGTCAACCCTCGCTTTACGTGGTCCCACTTTACGCGTTTCCACGTTTACGCGGTACCCTGCCGAAACCGGAATGCTCACTTTCCGCGGTGTGTGTACCCTTTTACGCGGAGAGCGGCGCGAGCAGGGTGCGCACAAGGTCGCCCAGTCATCAAAACATTACCGAGTTCTTCACCCACCACCCACCACAGCTGGCCCAAGTCAGTGATAATGATAGTGAGTATATGGACTTATATGGACTTTGAGGGGTTTGACAAAGAGGCCCTGCAAGCCTCTGTGGTGGAGTGATACAATTGATACAAGTGATACAGGTGAGGGCCAATAATCTGCCCTCTGCCGCGGAACCAGCCATATTTTCTACTAATGTAAGTGTTAAAAAACCTAATATTATTGATATTTCCCTTAATTATTAATTGTGTGTGCATACCATCATAAAATTAAGAAGTTATTTTTACTACAACGTAGGTATTGTGTCTGAAAAAATGGAGTTTGGGGGTCGGCCCGGTCTCTATTTCAATTAATCCCATATGTTATGTTGTTCACTTACGGCGTTTCTCACTTTACGCGGGCCACCGTGGGTTGAATTAACTGCGTAAAGTGAGGGTTCACTGTACAGTACAGTGCAGGTTAAGTCACAAACATATCATCACTTTCCTCCCGGTCACTCCTCTTTAATTATTACATTATGTTATCACTTCTCCACAATGATTAATAACCTATGGTAGCCCGTACATGTTTGGTAACAGCTCATGCTAAAGGGAGTTATTACAGCTTGTAATGAGTTTACTAACTGAACATGTAGGGAGGGTTATATGGTATGTATTGGTGACAAATATTCTTGAATCAATCATTTTAAAATTGGAATTCAATGTTGTACTTGGGAATGGGTTACTGTGAGGTTTACACATGACACACCGTACAATTAATACTGTACAGGTCAGAGAGGAGAGAGAGAGAGAGGAGAGAGAGAGAGAGAGAGAGAGAGAGAGAGAGAGAGAGAGAGAGAGAGAGAGAGAGAGAGAGAGAGAGAGAGAGAGAGGAGAGAGAGAGAGAGAGAGAGAGGAGAGAGAGAGAGAGAGAGAGAGAGAGAGAGAGAGAGAGAGAGAGAGAGAGAGGAGAGAGAGAGAGAGAGAGAGGAGAGAGGGAGAGAGAGAGAGAGAGAGGAGAGAGAGAGAGAGAGAGAGAGAGAGAGAGAGAGAGAGAGAGAGAGAGAGAGAGAGAGAGAGAGAGAGAGAGAGAGAGAGAGAGAGAGAGAGAGAGAGAGAGAGAGAGAGAGAGAGAGAGAGAGAGAGAGAGAGAGAGAGAGAGGAGAGAGAGAGAGAGAGAGAGAGAGAGAGAGAGAGAGAGAGAGAGAGAGAGAGAGAGAGAGAGAGAGAGAGAGAGAGAGAGAGAGAGAGAGAGAGAGAGAGAGGAGAGAGAGAGAGAGAGAGAGAGAGAGAGAGAGAGAGAGAGAGAGAGAGAGAGAGAGAGAGAGAGAGAGAGAGAGAGAGAGAGAGAGAGAGAGAGAGAGAGAGAGAGAGAGAGAGAGAGAGAGAGAGAGAGAGAGAGAGAGAGAGAGAGAGAGAGAGAGAGAGAGAGAGAGAGAGAGAGAGAGAGAGAGAGAGAGAGAGAGAGAGAGAGAGAGAGAGAGAGAGAGAGAGAGAGAGAGAGAGAGAGAGAGAGAGAGAGAGAGAGAGAGAGAGAGAGAGAGAGAGAGAGAGAGAGAGAGAGAGAGAGAGAGAGAGAGAGAGAGAGAGAGAGAGAGAGAGAGAGAGAGAGAGAGAGAGAGAGAGAGAGAGAGAGAGAGAGAGAGAGAGAGAGAGAGAGAGAGAGAGAGAGAGAGAGAGAGAGAGAGAGAGAGAGAGAGAGAGAGAGAGAGAGAGAGAGAGAGAGAGAGAGAGAGAGAGAGAGAGAGAGAGAGAGAGAGAGAGAGAGAGAGAGAGAGAGAGAGAGAGAGAGAGAGAGAGAGAGAGAGAGAGAGAGAGAGAGAGAGAGAGAGAGAGAGAGAGAGAGAGAGAGAGAGAGAGAGAGAGAGAGAGAGAGAGAGAGAGAGAGAGAGAGAGAGAGAGAGAGAGAGAGAGAGAGAGCAACATTATGTCAGTGTTAAGGTGCAAGTACTGCTTGCTCCCTCTCGCTCTCAGCTGCTGCCGCTGATTAGCCCTCGTGGCGAACAGCGAAGCAACTTGCAAAAGTCTTCCCCTGCCAGTACACAGCCTCCTCGCCATCAAGACTCCTGCTGTGCCTCCTCGTGGCAACACACGTACTGGGTGCCTCGTGGCCCCAGGCTAGACCAGCAGGGGATCCTGGAGTAGCAGTGGGCCCCAGAGGGACAGCGCATAGGCACTCTGGCATGTGGACACGTCCTGGCACCTACCAACCACCGCCCCGCTGCCTTGCGGATTAACCTTGGCAAATACATGATGGACAGGCTACTAAGGCAAAACCCAACAAACTGGGCTATCGGCAGTCCATTGCAACTCTCCCTCTCCCCAGTCATTACAACACTTGCACCACTGGATCAGGAAAATGGAGAGCCAAGATGTGTGGTTGCAGCCTGCACTCCTGCCTCACCACATAAATCAACTCACGCGCAGCCATCATCCAGCCCATCATACCTCTCATCATACCTCTCTCTAGTCACAACTCTGCACATGGGCGGCACAGATAAGATGGTCATTTACGCACTGGGATCTAGGCAGTTGTGCAATCCAGTCCAGTCTGTGTGACTGAGCAGCCCTTTTGAGGAGCCAATCTGCTCACCCCACATGGGGAGGGGCTAGAAAAGGTGCCCTTAACATAGCCTGCCTATAAACACAACCTGACTGGGCAACCACACTCAGTAAGGTCATCCTAATGTGGTCGAAAACACGATCATAATCACAGATCAAAATAAACGATACAACCTCTTATGGTTGCTCCATATTATGTCAGGACCCTCCAAGATACTGGCACATATGAACGTCCTGAAAAAAGATCCGCCCTTGTGGCAAAAGAGCTGGCTAGGTAAAATATTGACATAGCAGCCATTAGTGAGTCCCGGCTTCCAGACGAGGGCCAGCTCACAGAACAGGGGTCTGGCTATACCTTCTTCCGGAAGGGTAAGCCTGCAGCGGAGAGAAACTGCCTTTATGGAGTTGGCTTTGCCCTCCACCAATCCATCCTACACAGGCTAACTGAAATGCCTGTTGGGATTAACGAGCGCCTCATGACGCTTCAAGTCCCACTGAATCACTCACGTCTTGCCTTCTTCATCAGTGCATAC